AGTGGACGGACATGACTGGTGTGGGCGGCTGTGTGTCGGCCACCGATTGGTGCGGTGTTTGCGGTCGCATATGTCTGCGCCAAACGTGACCAACGATTGCCACTTCGGTGTCCATCGGCTCGCAGTCGTCGCCCAAACAGCAGAAGTACCACAACTTGTCGTTAATTAGCGCCCAATTGTAACATTTGGTCGCCGAAGACATAACTATTAATAGATTTGGTTTACAAATTGTAAATTACAATAACATGTGTTTACCTATTGATCACGTGATTAGTGTTAAGCATACGATTGGTTAGCGTTTTGTTTGTTTACATTTGTATTCAAAATTCAAACATTTGAATGCATTTTGAAGTTTAATAAATGTTTAATTAATTAAATCATTGAATGAATGAATGGATAGTTTAGACGTTTTGCGAAAGTTTCCCGATTTGTGTCCACAACCGGTGGTCACCGAAGAGGACAACAAACTTAGGGTTAAATTATTGGCTGTTTTCGGTAGTGAAGGCGAAGAAGTGATTGCCGTCACCGCCGATGACCGGGTCTACGGCTTCGGTGCCAACCATTTCGGTCGATTGGGTCTCGGAGTGAATGGTTTGATCGCAAGACCGCAACTGAACGCCACTCTCACCGGAAAGAAGATAACGAAGATATGCTATGGTTTGGGACACTGTATTGGACTGACCCGTAGTGGACAGTGCTATGGATGGGGACAGAACTGTTACGGACAGCTCGGCATCGGGTCTGTGGCCGACACACCGACCCCTCAACCAATCAAAATACTTAGCCTCAGATTAAAACTCAAACCAGTTATAGATATCTCATGCGGTGATAATCACTCGCTTGCGCTGACCACAGATGGCATTATCTTCGGCTTCGGGCTCAACGATCGGCACCAATGCGGCCATCGATTCGGCTTAACTGTATTGAAAGCGTCCCGACTCTGGCGCCCCCCGTGGTTGAAATCAGACAAAATTGTGTACATCTCTTGCGGTCGTAACCATTCATTATGTCTGACAGATATGGGAACCGCTCACCTCTGGGGCAGTAATGATAACCAACAGTTGGGTCCAGTCGTGGTCAGAGTCGACGGCCAACCATATTCACTGCAGAACACAAACGGTCGCCGTTATCGACACGCCATCTGCGGACCCGACCATACGGTACTCATTACTACCACTGGTGTCGTACAGGTGTGCGGTCTTCAGCGTTGGTCACCGGTGGCCAGAAATGGCCACTTATTTGGCATTATTGTCGTCAGCCCTGAAACTCAATTTAAACGCATTGACACCACTTATGGCAATCGTGTGGTAATCGCGACCGCAATGGATGGCCAGCACTTCATTGTGGGAACAGATAATGGTTTGCATATCTTTACACCCATTGATATACCGATCGGTTGTTCGCTGTTTGATGTTTACGCCAATTATTGCGGTTTTAAACGGACTTTCAATTCAATTGTCGATTTGATTCGCGACGCGATATCACTGTCGGACACGACCACAGCTGTAGTCACCGAATCCATTGGTTCCCATTCTTACCATCATTTGAAGCCCGAATCAAATGTGGATATCATTGCCGAAAGTGACGAAGAGATCTATTTATCTGATTCCGAAGAAGTTGAAGACAAAGAGACCAATCGATTGCACACACAATCACTGATGTCATCCAATTTATCACATTTTGGTCCACATATTGATAATGAATGTCACAAATCGGGATCTGTATTACCCGACGGCCCGTCACTTGTTTTGATATCGGATTCAATTGATCCGTAAGTCATGTCATTCTTAACACCGATTGTTTTCAATGTTTTTTGTTTTATTTTCATTGAAAAGTAAATCCACTGAAAATGCAATGAATTTACGTCTCACTGAATGTGGAGATAATGCGGGAACCGTTGACTCGATTAGTAGTATTGATCCAAATATAGAGTAAATTTTAATAATCAATAAAAAATTATATATTAATTGAATTTATTTTTAGTTTTCAAAACCATTTGTTGGCAAACAAAGAGTCCATACAATCGATGAACAACTGTTCCGAAAGCGATGAAGAGATCTATATGTCTGATACGGAAGGCGAAGAATTGTATAATACGGGAACCATTGGCGATAAGAGGACTACTTGTTGTGATCCGATCGTAAAGCAAGTATTGATAATTAGTTAACGGATTAAATATTGAATGATTTAATTGTTTTCAGTTGTTTTCAAAAGCATTTGTTGAAAGCGTTTAACAATCGATTGGATTCTGATTTAAGATTTATTGTCGAAAATAAAGTGATTTATTGTCACAAAACTG